ATGAAGTAATGGAGTTGAAGGCCATGCTGTTGGACTGAATTTCAAAGTCTTTGTGCATCTTTGTGCATCTTTGTGCATCTTTGTGCATCTCTGCCAGAAAAAGGAGGGAGAGCTCTGCTCTTCTGCCAGAAAAGGTGAGGCCAAACCATGTGCTGCAAATGTTCTGCAATATCCCATACAGGATTTATTTGTACAGGAAAGTTTTGCTAATGCTCTGTGATGAGAGCATGAAGATTTTCCCTCCCTAGAGTTCCAGGGACACCACCTGGCTCCCAAGGTATTTATGAGCAAAGATGCTGCAGAACTTCATTGGGGTTGGGTGTTCTTCACCCGTTGATGTTCACTATGAATAAGTGCCTCAGCATAAAAAATCATGCTAGTGCTACACAATTACTGCTCTAGCATAACTGTTGAAGATCATATTTTGATAAAATGCAGTTACTATTCTTTAGGCTTCAGGGCCATCCATAATCAGTGAAAAGAAATGGGCACCAGTAGAATGCCTGTTCTGAGAACCCACTTCAGGATGACGTGAATCCTGACCTAGAACAAGCAGATCAGTCCTATCCTTGCTCATTATAAATTTAAGCATGCTTTATTTGTACTTCATCCATTTCTATTACTGCTAAGACTGTTAGCTTTCATGCTTGCCTCTTTTTCTACACAGGTATGCAGCAAGCCCTGATTGAGTAAATCACCTGTGACTGATTACCCCTCAGATCCTGGTGAGATAAATGAGCTCTGTTATAGCCATCTTATGGATACTGCTTGCTGCATTTTCTTCTGAACAGGGAGGGGCAAACCCGTTGTTCTGCAGTTGAAGCTGTGCCTCATTCTACAGCTGATCAATAGAGGCTGTGAGAACCCTCAGGAATAGGGCTTTCTCTCTTAGGCTTGTTTTTGGCCAAGAGTGAAACTGTCCCACCAAAATATGAACAGTCTGCTAGCTGAATTGAATAAATCATCTGTACTAGGCCTATAGATCTCAAATAACCAGGACAGACTCTTATCCTGCAAGTAATTGTGTTTCAGTAATTCTTCTCATCTGCTTAAGGTATACTACTGACCATGAAACTATTCCTATACAGTCTACAGGAAGCATACAGAGGCATGTCCTGATTGCACTGGGCTCTGTTGGTGTCTGGGCTGATCATCCAGGCATTCTGTGGGCTGGGTTCTGGTCTCATTTTTATAGGCAGATATTCTGAGTCCCACTGAAACAGCTCAAGGGCAAAGCTCTAAGCCAAGTATATTCTGAACATTTGGAGCATGTTGCTGAATACATTTTTTGGAGCCGCTCACTGGTTTCTCTTTATTCTGAAAAATCCAAAATTAAGCAACATTATGCCCCTCTTACTCTGTCTTTGGTCAAAGATCTCCTGTGTTTAAGGTTGGCTCACTCAGATTAATAGTTATATGTAGGATTCTCATGTTATATTATTGTGCAAAAAGATTGATGTCTAAATGAATCCTTAGATCCAAATGCCCCCAAATCTGGAAAAACTGTATTTCAGCTGACCAACAGTCATTGAAATGTCCTAGAACAAAAAAAAAGAAAAACAAAAACAAAAGCAGGAAGTACTGAGATGAGCTTAGGATTTGGAGTAGCAGTGATGATTCAGGCTTTTGGTTTCACGTTGAGCCTGCGCTGCACTGGGTTGCCTATTTGCTAGAATAAGGGTAGTTGTATGAGCTCCAAGTTCATTAAAGCTTTTCTGCTTTTTACTGTTTTTCACTTTAGTACACATCTTTCCTCCCAGACCTGAAAAAGGATTAAAATGCCAGAAAGGAGACATATCGCTCAGCAATTCTAATCACATACCAGAAATCTCAAGACACACGGTTCTCACAAGATTTTCTACCCTTTGTAGGCCATAAAAGGCTCTGATAAGTTTCTGAAGTCCAATCTGATCTCTTTAGTCATTTAAAAATTGTTTTTTTACTGAGAAACTAAGCTAGACTCCTACTACAGTGATCACATTTGATCAGTTCAATTTCCCTCCACAGTTTCCGAATTTGTTTTTGTATTCATTCATTAAGACAGAGAAACAGAAGCCTTTATTCAAAACCAGATTCTAATATCCAAAACAAGTCTCTAGTTAGTTATAAAACAAAAAGAAAAAAAGAAAAAAAGAAGGTTTTGCAGGGAAACTTTCATACACATGATTTGATTTGAGATTGTCATCTGCATTTGCTGTCCTTCACTCCTGCATGTTCACTTTTCAGAAATAGTGCAGGGAAGCAGTTCTGTCATTGTAGATAGAAGAGTATACTGACCTGTTTGGCTTCCGTGAGAAGCAGGCAGATACTGTATCATCTAAACTACAAATAGACAAATTGCGTTTTGCATTTTCTGTTACTTTCACCACTGTGAAAGTGGATTTCAAGTGAAGGAAATGATTGATTTGCTTTCAGTGGCATTTCTGAGAATTCCAGTCTTAGTAATTAAGTACCCCTGGTGCATGTTATTCGGAAAGGTAAGGCACTCTGCTAGAAATAAACCTTTAGTTGAACTGCCAAATTGTTAGTGGCAATATTATAGCTACTTCATGTAGTATTGATCAGGTTTTGAATAAGTCTTTCCATCTTGGAAATTGATGCATTCCAAACTCACAGCCTTTGTCTCTTCTCCCTGAATTGCTGCATACTTAAATTACAGTTGATATTATTTATCCACCCTGTTTCAGGCACAGACTGTAGGCACAGGCTGATTTTTCAGTACTGGTTTGTACAGCACCTAACACTTCGTCTCCTAAGCTACTAAAGATAATAAATGTTGCAAGACAATATCATGCCACAAAGGGAGATGCTGTTACCATGCAGTGAGTCTGCAGCTTACAGTCTGGGGCTACTCAAGACAAATCACAGAATCACAGAATCACAGAATCGTAGGGG